TTGTACATCCATCGTTATAAGTACAATGAATGTACATTCTACGTACATGCGTGGTTGGACATTGAGTGGACGTCCACTGTACATACAATTTGAAGCATCCAATGATAATCCATGTTTGTACGTACATTGGATGTCCATTCAATGTCCATGGACGTTTGGAATTGAAATGAACCTAAAATGGACGTCCAATGGATGCCATGTGCTGTAATGTCCACGTAAGTCCATCGGACATCCTTGGGAAACTTTTCAGGATCTATTGGGGACCTTCTACGGACCATCAACTCAACTGAATGTCCTCATCAGTTATGCAAGATCTGGTCCTAGAGGGACCCAGAAAAATTCAAATTGAAGAATAATTCGTACGTCCCTGGGACATCCTATGGACATCCAATTGATATCCCTCAGCGTTGCTGATAGGTTGTCCTACGGATGTCCTAAGGATGTCCTCCGTAGTGCTAGATGAGGAATACTGTAAGATTTAGGTATGCGATAGTTGTCCCAGGGACATTCCTCAAGGACGTCCCTAGCTGGTCCTCAAGTGGGGCATTTGTACATCCCACAGGCGTCCAATGGACGTCCACGGTACCAAATTTGAACGTCCTATGGACGTCCTGAATGTCCGGACAGGTCGTCCTAAGGATATCCGTTGGACAGAATTATGTCATTAGGGAGTATCAGTGTTCTGTGAAATTGGAAGTAACTACATTCAACATCAACAGTGTGACCTTTCTTACTCAAGAATTTTTGAAATCGGTTGGAAAACGGAAAATGTGTACTATGCAACATGGATAGCCAAAATGAGGTTTTTTAAATATCTTAAACAAACTCGTTCCATCAGAATGCAACAAAGTTAGAGCGCTAGTTCATTTGTTGATAAATCAACTTTATATTTTTTTCTGATTTTCAGAAATGAGAGAAAAATAAAAAACTAACACGCGTGTATTCCATCCAATGAGTCCTTGAGATAAATATACAAGTAATGTTCACTTGGCTGCAGCATGAGTTGCTATAATATGATGATATCATACAATACAAAACTGTATAATTCTTCATGGAGACATTGATATCAAGTTTCTATTGAAATACTGATATAGAATATCAATAACTTACAGATAATAATATGCTTCACGACAGTCGCTGAATATAGGAAGTGTTAATAATAATGTGTCTTCATTCATCATCAATATGGAAATTACACAACCAATTTAGAAATAAATTCCAAAAAGATGATGAAAACGAGAGGTTCAGCTATCTAACTATTCAAAATTTAAACTGAACTGATAAAAAAACTTGGAGATGTTTTTAAACGCATAACGACCAAGGTATGAATACCTATAAAATAACGGGTTCCGACGAATCCATCATACAATAAGCCATAACTTCTTGAATATTCGGTGTATCAAAATGAAATTTAATATAGGTTTAAGTATATAGTACGTGAAGAGGAAAGTTTTCGCATATCATTTACTTCCCGCGGTCACTTCCGCTTTCACTGAATATGGCTTCGGTTTAGAATTTTCAATTGAAACACCTTGTATATCATAACATTTTTGAATTCCTGATATGATTCTGGATCAGAATATGACATTTTCAACAACAAGATAGCACTTGATTTGAAAAAAAGAATATATTTCCTAACTGCTTTGAAAAAAAATTACATCTCATGCCATTATAGTATAATAATGATATATATAATTAAAGTTCAATAGATATTGCTTGAATAATGAAAAGTGTTTTTTGTTCCAAAGAAGACTCGAAAAAAATGAATGCGAAATACACTCAGTTCCAAAAAAAGTGACGCACATGATATTTGACCAACCTTCTTAAAAAAGTAGGCCGATTTTTATTTTTTTTCATTTGATGTAAAAAAAATGAAGAGGTGAACATTTTTTCAAATCCTCCTTGATGGTGGTGGAATAAGTCGAACCATGATTTATTCTTAATTTTTGACTCACCCTGTGTGTTAATTGAGTAATTGCATAGAAAGTGCTTGCACCCAATACGAAAGGGGCTTTTTTTACGAGCATTTTGTTTTTTTATTCATTGATTTATCTCTAAAATTTTCCGAATTACAGCTTTTTTTGCTGAATCCTTGCAGATTACCAACTTTCTGACTTCAACGAGAAACAATTTTCTAATGAAATAAACTGAATTTTGAGAAACATTTTCATTAAACACAAAATTATCAATTTGGGTGACTGCTTAATACCGTGTATTGCTTCCTTTAGCAACTCTAAGAACTTCTAATCTACGAGGCATACTGGAAATTAGGTTGCTTATCGTTTCCATTGGCATACGATACCATTCTTCCACTAATGCATCTGCCATTTCTGCGAGACTTTCCGGAGACCTCTCCCGAGAACGTACCCTTCTCCCTAATTCATCCCACAAATGTTCTATAGGATTCATATCGGGGCTTCTCGCAGGCCATTGTAATGTGGTAATGCCAGGAGCTTCTAAGAAGTTTCGCACTATTATATAAGGTAAGACATACTGCTCTAAAATGTCAATGTAAATTTGTGCATTCATGGACTGCCTCACCAGAAAAAACATAAAGGGGTGTCTTTCCATTCATTGAAATCCCTCCCCACACCATAACGGACCAACCATTAAAACTTTCGCATTCTGTTATCAAATTTTGATCAAATCGTTCACCAGTTCTTCTCCACTCTCTTTTTCTTCCATCCACCATGGTAAGGCAAAACCTTGACTTATCCGTAAACAAGACATTCGACCATTCAGGAATATTCCACTGTCCATAATTTTCACAAAATTTCTTCTAGCAGCACGATATTCGGGTAATAATTTGGGACCTTTTGCAGGTCCTAGCTTTTAAATCAACTTCTTTTAGACGTCTACATACCGTCTGCTTACTTACTGCAACCTCACGAATTTGGCGAAGATCTTGCTGAACATTTACCGCAGTATTTGATCGATTCCGTAAAATCCGCAATCTCAAGAAGCGATCATCTCTTGGAGAAGTTTTTCGGGGGCGACCAGAACCAACCCTCCGATCGGTGCTTCCTGTTTGTTCGTACTTGCGGATTGCTCTACGAGCAGTTGCTTCATGAACATTTACTAACGCAACTAATCTTGCTACTTGTTCAGGATATATTTGACGCATTTAATATAATTTTAGTCAATAAAACAAGACACTTAATTAATGACACCACGACAAATGGTCAAATATGGAGGCATACAACAAATTAGTTGCTATGGCAACGGCATTTGTTTTTTTAAAGACAATGTGATCCTACCAGAGTACAACCCAATCAGTTTTGAGTACTCTGATCCTTCAATAAATTTAATTTGTGGGATAAGCGTGAGGTATCAACAATGTGATCCTACCAGAGTACAACCCAATCAATTTTGAGTACTCTGATCCTTCAATAAATCCAATTTGTGAGAAAAGCGTGAGCTATCAACAATGTGATCCTACCAGAGTACAATCCAATCAATTTTGAGTACTCTGATCCTTCAATAAATTTAATTTGTGGGATAAGCGTGAGGTATCAGCAAAAAAGCTGTAATTCGGAAAATTCTAGAGATAAATCAATGAATAGAAAACAAAATGCTCGCAAAAGAAGCCTCTTTCGTATAGGGTGTAAGCAGTTTGTATACCATTACTCAATTAACACACAGGGTGAGTCAAAAATTAAGAATAAATCATGGTTCGAGTTATTCCACCACCATCAAGGAGGCTTTGAAAAAATGTTCACCTCTTAATTTTTTTTTAAAGACAAATGCATTACCTACCAACAAATAAAAAAAAAATAAAATCGGCCTACTATTTTTAAATGCATTACCTACCAACTGATAAAAAAAAATCAAATCGGCCTACTATTTTTGTTTTTTTTTTAAGAAGATAGGTCAAATTTCAAGTGCGTCACTTTTTTTGGAACTGAGTGTATTATGCAATCTTGGATATCCAAGGAATATTGACACATCGAATGTGAATGAATAAATATCCAGTATTTGCCTTAGTATATTGAATGAATGTTCTTATTTTCAATACAATCGTAAATAAATTAGTATCCTTAGATTCGTCAAAAACTACTTTTTTCGGTAACCGTCCGGGAAGTGCTAAGTAAGTACTTCCCGGACTAGGCCGGAAGTATCACATTGTTGTTGTCACTGTAACTATGAAAATCTTGGTAGATAAGGTTTTGATAAATGCGGATGATAATTAAGATAGTAGCGAAATATCGGCTGACAGCTATTTGACATGAAATTAGTTGACATTTGGATGTTTGAAAGTTTGATTGCAATTATCGCAATAAACTATCGAAAGCAGCAGCGATAGTGAGTTTGAAAATGTCCATACGAAATTTCCAATATAGCAGTTAGTAGGTATAGGTATTCTGTTCAAATTTCAGTATTTGATACGAATAAGAAATAACAAAGAAGAAACTGTATTCCGCAAAGAAATATAATATGGAAATGTGTCTTATTGAATTGTTATTCTACATATGGTTGCCGAAAAAATTGTGTACGTAACACGTCCAAGAACAATTTTTTTGGACTCGCAGACTTCCAGGACTCGCCTACGGCTCGACCTAGAATTTTGACAACTCGTCCAAAAAACGCAGTATTTTCCGAACCTGCTACGTAAATTACTATTTTGTGCTTGTCAAAAGATGGTTAGTCAACTTGTCTACTTCCTATCTATCATAATAGTAACTCAAACTTTGTGATTATAGTTTTCTGACATCACCAGAGGTCCTTAGAGCAGTTTACGTCCTAACATGGTCATCTATAAATACATTTCAATGAGGCATCAGCAAAAGTTAGCATTTGGCATGTTTTGACTAACCAAAAGCTGAAAACAAACTGCAGACAGGAAATGACAACCATGCAAACCTTCCAATCTCCACTAACTTCCTTGTTGCTTTTGGAGGGGGAAAACACTCTCTCTTCTTCCTTTTTCGAATGATATAATAACGTTATCAATGGACTTTTAACCTAAATTCACATATAAATGAAAATAAGCGAGACAATCTTCAAAAGTGCTTGAGAGAGCATTGTGGGTGTTTGGGTTTCGATTTTGTGGTAATTTTGGTTTCGGTGTGAGTGCTGGTACATCTTACATAACATACAAATATGCATCCACGCAAGCAGGTGAGTAGCACAATGTTTCCTGACACTCCTTTCAAATCCTGGAACAAGACATTCTCAAGTATTTAGTGGGATTTTGTTCATCACCACGTGTTTTTTCAAATTATCCCAAAACATTATTATGGTGTTTGATTAGGAAATCACCGCAGACTTATTTCTTTCTATGTAGCACATTTTAATGACATATCCTGAAAACATTTTTTTTCATGCAGTATGTCTTAAGAGTTGGTTCTGAAAGCGTGATATTGATAATTACCATGAATTCAGACAAAAAACAAGGATGCTATTTCAATAATTTTGTTTGGCTTGGAAATTATCATCGATTTGAGAGATGACCCGAAATTAATTAGCGAAAGAGATAAGTTTGAATACTAATGAAGGAGTTATAAAGCTATTGGGATAGATATGAGTCGATTTTTATTTATCATGGGCATTTTGTCTATAATTAAACAGCAAACGATGTTATCAGCTATCTAATGATTTTACTTATCACCATTTGAATGAGAATAAGGAATTATTCCTTTCCAATATACCTACTTTACATTTATTGAATAATGAATAAAACTTTCCATCTCATTCCTTCGGTGAGATATGTTTTAGTATCTACCTATATTACTCATTATCATTGTTGATAAACAAATAACTGATTTCGAAATTTCCATACTCTTTCTTGAAATACTGCAATAACCTATGCGGACATAAAAAATTGTTGTTTCATCGTTTATATTGATAAAATTCCTGATCGATTAATTTCATTGCAGATTCTTGGGAATCTACCCATCACTACATTGTTTATAATAGTCATTTTGAACACCATATCGGCTAGACCTGGGGGAGAATGGAGACAAGATGTTGCTTGCATTGGAGATGTGAGTATCTTTGCATTGAGATATATTCCATTTGAAGTGGTCAAAAATATATTCCTACAGAGTGTTATCGAAATAAAAACATATATTGATCATAGCAATAGGCTCAAGTCAAGATTAGTCCTACAAAAATTACCAGAATATTCTATATTTCCTACAAGCATCTACAAGTCTCCAAATTGACGAGAAATCTCATGTCAAAAATTGAACAAAAAATTGAAATCCTAGTGACTGTGCCGTCTACAAGGAAGTTTATGGACACTGAAATTTTGAATTTGGTTTCTGAATATCTTACTCAACTACATACTACTAAGGAGAGGTAATAGTCCTATATAATCCCCAAGTTAAAACTTCACTTTTTCCATTCTAGTGTCTGTGCCAAGTATATCTGTTGAAATTCCGGGTCTGTGATGAAATTCTTGTGTAGTGAGTTAACTTTGAAATGTTTCCATTATCTATTTTACTGTCGGTTATCTGTAGGTTCTCTTCCAATCATTGTGGTAGAGACTAGCGATCAGTGATTTTGATATTCCTTTTTTCATTTCATTGACTTTCGATTGTTTCCAACGTACTTCTATGCATAGGCACTGTGTTACCTTCTATGTTTAACAATAGTTTATTGTTTAACAAGCACGGAATGATAGTGATTCTCCACGAGAATGAAGTTTGCAGCATTCGCCTACGGCTCATGCTGCAATCATTCGAGTAGGAAATTAGTATTCCGTGCGAGTTATGCACTATAATTTTTCTACGGCTGCACCAGATAACAGCGACATTTGTGATTTCTCCGTCTTGTAACCATCTGATTTTCTCTCAATTAATGCTCCTCTATTGGACAGAGCTGTCATTGCTTGAAATTTTACATTCCATGGGCGATGAGTTGTTTTTCAAAAATAATAACACAATGGAGTCATTAAATTGTGATACCATATACGGAAATAAAATTGATGACGACCAAAGTACCTCATTGACAGTAAAACAATGAGAGCAATTTTGTGTTATAGCCGTAGAAAATAGTATATTATTCAACGAGCATATAATGAGGGATTATTCACGAAGGTTGAGTTTATATCACGAGCATATCGAGTGGCATAATTAACCTGAGTATCATATGCGAGTAGAATACTCTACTTTGTCCACGACTACTATTATCTTTTATATAAATTTATTTCTAACAAACTGTTTTATCATAACTCATTTGACATTAAGAAGACTAAAAATTCAAGATACCTGTAATATCAATTATTTGTCCACGACTGTTTTACTTCCTCAAGCATGAAGCAAGCCATTTTTCCGAGCATTTTTCACATCAGTGGATTATAGCGGTGAATAACCATTATTCACTGGTCTAAAGTTCCTTATATATGTTATATTGCGTATCCTAGGAACTCTAGACCAGTGAATTATGGTTATTCACTGCTATTATTCACTGGTGTGGAATTTATCTACCAACAGTCGTGGATAATAGTATATTATTCAACAAGAGCATATAATGAGGGCTATTATTCACGAAGGTTGAGGTTATGTCACTAGCGTAGCGAGTGGCATAATTCACTGGAGTGAAAAATAGCTCATTATATGCCAGTAGAATACTATACTTTGTCCACGACTACTATTGTCTTCGTATAAAACTTCACCAACGATGAGATTTCTACAAAATTCTAAATCACACGACATGTTTCGCTAACACAGTAGCTCCATCAGATGACATACTGGTACAATGAAATAAACTAATCCTGGCTTGCCTAACTTATAAGGATTTCCATCAGGTAACGGCCGTGTCAATTAGAAAAAAAAACAGAAAAAACATTGTCTTTGATTTATAAACTTATTTTTAACAACTGTTTCATCATAACTCATTGGAGTTTCAGAAAATAAAAAATTGAGGATACCTGTTATATTAATTATTTGTCCACGACTGTTGTACTTCTTCAAGCAAAACGATAGCCATTATTCACACCAGTGAATAATGGCGGTGAATAATCATTATCCACTGGTCTAAAGTTCCTTATATGTTATATCGCGTATCCTATAGGAACTCCCGACCAGTGAATTATGTTTATTCACTGCTATTATTCACTGGTGTGAAAAATAGCTACCGTTTTGCTTGAGGAAGTACATTTATTATGAATATTTTATACAACAGTCGTGGATGAAAACTATCAATTCCATTTTAATATTTTCTCGATCACCTTGTCGAGATTCCTTGAATTATTATCTTCCGAATATTGGTGATAAAATCCAAGGTTAAAGTTAAACTCATTCCACGTGATTCATATCAGATCTAAGAAACATTAACTTTCTAGCCACTCATCAAATCTTTTTGCTACCTCACTATTTTCATGAACTGTGTCGCAATGTCGCTTAGTTCTCTGCGATTCTACTCATTTTATATGCTTTCCATGAGCTGCACCTCTCGATGAGTAAAATGTTGGGTGGTGTTGTCCCAAATCATATTTTGATTGCCAAACAGGGTGATGGTCCAACGAAATCTTCACACACCGATTCTAGGGCTATAAGATAAAAATCCGGAAACCGCTCGGAACCGTCAATAACTGACCAATCGAGGGAAACAACTTGTCTGCTTTCTTCATGCCCGTAACTTATATACCTCCAACAAGGGGGTAGCACAGCCCCCGGATTTTGAATAAGAATGAGGGGTATTGCGATACCTCATTTTGAAGATTCCATCGAGTACTATGTGACTCTCTGATTTCGCCTGAAAATTTTCATCGATAACGAAATGGGAGACAAAATAGTGGAAGAGGGAATATCGAATTCACCTCGAGAATATTATTCTTAGTAGAGTAGGATTGGAAAAGTTTTTTTTATTTGTTATCTTCTGTGTCCACAAACTTTTCAAATAAATACTATTCGCATCCGACTCTAATGAGAATAATATTTCAGAGGTAAATTCGACATTGCCTATTCCACTCTTTGATCTCTTATTTGAAGGGTCGGATAGTACTCGAAGATTTTTTCAGAATTAGGTATAGCAAGAGTCATAAGCAAATGTCAGCTAAAGGGAGAACTCGGGAAATGGGAATGAATTGAAAAGTCCTCCTACTGGAGAGCAACTCCAGGTCAACGACAAGCGAAAAGGTTCATCAACCATTCGCACAACCGAGCCAAAGAGCTACTCAGCCTCAGCAAACCAGAGCTGAAGCTTATCACAGGCTTTCTCACAGGACACGGACCTCTGAGGTACCACCTCAAAAAGATGGGTCTGGCGGAGACTGACACTTGCCGCTTTTGTAACAATGCGACCGAAACCGCGGAACACATACTTTGCTCATGTGAAGTATTAGTCCGCCAAAGGCTGAACCACCTAGAACAGGTCTATCTCACCCCTGTTGAAGTGGAAAAGTCAACCGTCAGGAAAATCGTAGGCTTCATCAGAAGTTTAGGGTTAGAGGACCAAAACTAGATAGGGGTAATCACAATAGATCTTCTAGGTCGCAGTGATCGAGAGGTCTCTCAGCTTATACGACCCATCTACAATCTACAATCTGCAATCTAGCAAGAGTCCCTCATCCCTATTCAAAATCCGGGGGTTTTGCTTCCTCCTGGTAGGGGGTTGAAATTACGGGGATGAAGAAAAAATACAAATCGTTCCTCCTCGAATCAGGAATTGATGAGTCCGAGCGATTTCTCGGATTCTCGTTTTGAAGCCCTTAGAATAGGAGATTATAGTTTTTGATGGACCGCCCTGTAGATTTTCTTCAATGGTGTCATTCGATATTACACCTTTAGTCTTTCTAGGGTTTGAATGTAATGTATTTAACATGATGGAAGTAATATGGAGGAAAATGTAAAATAGCTAGGAAGAGAGTAGTGAAAGGGCAAAGGATATGCACTTACAGCACGGTTATCTTTTTGTGAGGGCTATGTATGTCCACTACTCTCTTCCTAGTAATATATTTATTTCGTTAACACCCAGTAAAGGATATTCGACTAAAATAAATTTCTCAAATTAAATATTATGTCATTATTATCTTCTGATTAGAGAGTATAAAGTAGCTGCTTTTAGAAATCTGTGAATATCCAGCGGTACATTACATACCGTTTTTCGAGAAATGACTGATTTGTTATTTCAATGTTTTGACTCATCGAATATACATGGCTTCATTTTGAACATCTATACCACCCTCTTCTTTTTTCTGGTCCGCGGTTATTACAATTTTCGAAAATAATAAGTCGATTTTGATATCGAGGAGAAAGTAAAATACTAGTATCTTGAATGCTATCTTCATCCCCTTCACCGCCAGACATAAAATTCGAAGTCTAGCAATAAACAAAAATAGATATTTAAGTAACCAATTAGGAAACGACTTTTGCAGGGCGAGTAAACCAAGATCCCGCAAAACACAGAGTTACATAAGATACGTTTCCTAACCTGTTTATGTACATACAATATTTTTTCTAATTTTGATGAAAAACTTTACCACTTATCCGATTACTTATATACAAAAATTAGTAGGCAAATTGACTTCTCCCGTCAAAAATCACCGACGGAATTAACGAAATAGTTTGAAAGGGCGTGGAAAGAAAATTCCGAATTGAATAAACCCGATCGCCAATCTGCGATTAGAGGTCTATAAAAATAACAAGTCTCATACATCCAAACAAAATGTCCAGATGAAAGTCTCGTCTCGTTGGTCTCGTGTGACTCACTAATCAAAATTCCGACTTATATATATGTAAAATTCCGAGATATAAGTCGGAATTTTAAAATTTCGAGTTATATATATCGTAAATTTGTCATACATCCAAACAAAGTGAATTTTTGATTCGTTCCAGAGCACGAAAAGAGAAATTTGCCAAAGATGTGCGAAACAAACTAAATCCCCCATAGTCTACCCGATGTGCTGCAATGAGGAAGACGAAGTGCACAGCTGGTGCTTCAGGTACACCAACTATGGAAAGGTGGCCTAGCTGTGGAACAGAGCAGATTTTCTGGATGTGATACCCTTTCTGGGTCGGCTTTCACTAATCTTCCACGGGAGGTTTATTAGATATAATTTCGTCCGAACGGGTATAGATCTATCTTCGGAATGGATAGCATTTTGTGATATGTTTGGTGAGAATGGATCTTGGATTTGAAACGATTTTCTATATACCTTGGCTTGGCCGTTCAATATATGTTTGAATGTATGTGATGAATCCTGTTGGGTCTTGGTTTTTATAGGCAGGATCAATACAGGGTGAATCTAAAAGGTCTGTACAAAATCTCAGCACATGCATATTCTGAAATTTCCCAATTATTAACGATTTCACTAATAAGTTTGAACTTGATATTTCCGTTCATTCATTTATGCACCTGAATTGAATTTTATCTTTCATTAACTATTCGCTAATAGATGACCAACTTATATCTCTTAACGACAAATACGAATGAAACTGTGACTTGCGCAGGCGCGGTTCTGTGAGAAGTCAGACAAACAATTTCTTCCTCTTCTTTTCCCAAAATGTAGTTGGAAATTCTGAAAGTTCTAGTCGTATGCTCAAATTAAACTTTGAAATCAACATGAATGAATGATTCTTATTGTAATGTTATAACACAAATATTTTCATCGGGCTAAGTACGCTGAGGAGTATGTTTTGATCAAGAAGAAGAGTTTAAAATTAGAAGAAAGTGGTGCATAAAGGTATCATAGTCTATAAATAAAAATGAACGTAATGGCAGTTAATGAAAGCAACAGATTAGTAAAAAAGCAGTGTGCATAAATCCACCTATAGTCCTGAGGTCAAAATAGGCCGATTTAAAGGATCTTATACATCAGTCCGAAATCGCTCCGTTTTAGAGATAAAGTTTGATGAATTTTAAAATAAAAATCGACAAGTACACTCCAAAAAAGTATTTTTAAAAATCCTTGTATACACTGACGACTATTCACTGACCAAATTACATCCACGAAGATGACAACAAACATTTTTTATTCAAAATAATTTGAATATTCCGGTGCGCGGCAACGAACACTAAAAACCGAAATATCTCTGAATCCGCTTACTTCAGCGGATTTTCACAGGTGTACTTTTTTTGCTTGCAAATATTCCTAAACGAAAAAGTAAAAATCTACACAGAGAAAAAAGTTATGGCCATTTTGAACCATAAGAAGGGCAATGGTAAGCGCCCTCTAATGGCCACAGTGAAAAGGTGTATGTATCCCGTAAACAGGTTTTTCACTAGGCACGCCAATATCTCGAAAACGAATAGAAATATTCAATTTCTGTAGAAAGTAATCAATGGATTGGGTCTAGTACATTTTTTTAGACGTTTGAAAAATTCAACGCCTCTACTAAGTTACTGTGTTATTTATAAACTTTCATGTTATTTTCCCGAACTCATTAATTTTAGTTATTCCTGAGTTATACCGGTTTATCGTGAACGTTTCGTGATTGACAAAAATGCAATTATGGATGATTTTTGGGTGTAGGTCTATACCGCACGGCGGTCAGTTTCACCCTTACCGGTTAGAAAATGAACCCAACTGGATGGGATTATTGAGCGCAGACAAGTACCTACCCCTAATTGCTGGAATTTCCTTTAGTACCGGGCCACTCCTATATAGTACCTTCAATGGAAAATAATTAGTATAGGGTTAGATTGTTAAAAAAAAGAAGTCTTCTCCTAAGATATGATCCTTTCTCACGATTTTGTTAAGAGATGGATTGGTTTTAAAAAATATATACTTTATAGGAAGACGGTTCGTTAAGGCTGAGGAAGGTTGGATTGTTTAGAAACAGTAGTCTCCTTCCTAACAATATACTTTCTGTGAAGAAAATCAATTTAGGCCAAGTGAGGTTAGATAGTTTAAAAAAAGTAGTATTCTTTCTAAGATATGATCCTTCCTCACGATTTTGTTAAGACCGTTTCGTATCAAACAAGTTTAATCCGCGCACAATTGGTCCATAGGACCGAAGGTACCTTGCGCTCAATTGCCCTTTTCATTATCTACTACCTGACGAATTTTCTGATCGTTGCGCTCAATCGTCCGTTGCCCTGATTTGTGCCAGAATTTCATGAATATTAGTTACTTTTTTTTCTTAATTGACCCGGCAGTCACTTGATGGAAATCCATGGCAAATGTATAAACTTCCCAAACGATAAGATTTCCACCAAATTCTCAAACACAGGACATGTCCCGCTAACACAGTTTAACAGAGTTTCATTCCTTCATTTTCTACGTGTAGAATTTCGAAATTATCATCAAAACTATGGTTTTCTCCTGATATATGGCTGGCGTATGATGAACTCGTTTTTTTTGGTTGGTTGGTTGGTTGGTTGGTTGGTTTAGTTCATTTTACCAGTGTATCACCTGACGAAGCTTCTGTTTTAGCGAAACATGTTGTGTGTTTAAGAATGTTGAGGAAATCTTATCGTTTGTGAAGTTTTCACAATATTAGTTACTTCGGCAACCATATTGTTATTGCAATTGTTTTACAAGCAAACAACTTTTGGAATGATTTCTGCATCGAGTACTCTTCTATGCAGATAACGCTGTGCGTAAACTCTTTTTGCTTCCCTACAATTTGTCCTGTATTTTCCAAACACCAGTAACATGTCTACTTTTTGATCATTGCTGAATTGAACCATTTTCATATAATTAATAACACAGTAATTACAATATCTGACGCTTCTGAAACAATTGCGATACAAATGGTTGCCGAAGTAACTAATATTCATGGCATTCTCATGAATCATCGCTTTTTTGTCAATCAATAAACACTATAAATAGGTATAACTCAGAAGTGAGTTAAATAAATAAGTTCAAGAAACAACAAAAAAGTTCATGAATAACATGTTCAACAGTACATGTGATTACAGTCGTGCACGTGATTTCAAAGGCAATGCAATCGATTTATTTTTTCAACGAGTCGCGACGCTCAGCTCTTAGTAGGCGTTGATTTTTTTTATCTCTCAGGAAAATCTACTTGATCCATTGACTACATTTTACAGAAATTTAATATTTCTACTCGTTGTCAAGATATCGGCTTGCGGAGTTTTAAGTGGACAGCCCTGAATAGAGCAATTTCGGACTGAGGTGAGCTGCTTTAAATCGGCTCATTTTGAACTCACGGATATGTGCTGAGATTTTGTGCAGACCTTTAAGCGTGACCCTGTATAAGTTGTGCTCAAATCATTCCTATAGTGTAGTAGATACCTATATACAGGGTGTTCTCGAAAGCATGTAAAATTGTAAATGAGAGTTCATTATTTAAACGTGCTACACTGTTTGACCAGGGACGGTTTGAAAGAACATTGGAGGGAAGGGCGGGGGGAGCCTGGAAGTGAATTTTGCCAATTCATTTTTAAATTTTCCGATTCTCGTTTTGAACAAAAAATGAATAATAAGAGTTGATCACTCTAAGTGGATTATTGAAATACGTGTTCCTAATACTTATTCAATTTGACACTGAAAAAATAAAAAACAAACATGAAATAAAAAATATTCAAGTGGGATTGAAGAAATCGTTTTCTTTGAGCTATGATTCGAAAATTTGTAGTACGCAGTTGGAAATCCTGGGTTTCAACAGAGTATTTCATTTTCAGAGTAAAAACCTGTAACTGGAAATATCATTTTCCGAATTGGAACTTTATGTTTTCAACTGATAGTTCGGAATTTGATTTTTTCGACTTCAAAGCTTTAAATTCTCTATTCTTCAGTCAGAAAGTTCGAGTTTGCAGTTGGAAGTTCCCAGTTTGAACTGGAAATATAATTTTCCTCCATGTTTGAACTTGGGAATTTCATCAACTGCAAAATAAAATGAATTTTATGTTCTTGAAGTTGGAAATTGAATGAAAAAAATATTTAATTGAGATAAAAGAAACTTCATTTTCTATGAGCTACGAGAGGGAAATTCAGAGTACGCAGTTGACAATCCTGGGTTTGTTTGTACAGGATATTTCATTATCAGATCGAAAACCTGTATAACTGCGAATTTCATTTTCCGAATTGAAACTTGATATTATTAACTTAAAATTCGGAATTTGATTTTTTCGACTTTCAATCTTTGATTTCTTTCTTCTCAGTCGGAAATTTCGAGTTTGCAGTTGGAAGTTAAATGGTTTGAACTGGAAATGTGATTTTCCTTCATATTTAAACTTGGATATTCCGAATACACAACATCGACATTTTATGTTTTTGAAGTTGGAAATTCCTAGTTTGAAGTAGGAAATCCGTAGTTTTCATTTATTTATTACATTTTTCATTTATATTTCTCATGAAACGGTTTTCTGTGAAACTTTCCCAAACTCATATTGCCAACTCGCCTCGTTCCTGTGTTCGATGATGCAAAAAAAACAATTGAATAAGAGAATCTGATGACTAGCGCTAAACAAAGAACATATGATTCTACCACAGTTTATGGAAATAGACATAGACAACTCTTATTGTAAAGATATTTGGCGGATCTGCATATTTCAATGAATTCGACATCTTTAAAAAAAATGGATCACCTTTGAGAATACCCTGTATTATCATGTTTAAGATTTTTGAGATTCATTGTAAAGAGTAGTTATTATATAACAATTTTTTTATGATTTTATATGTATAACGTAAAATGAAAAATAGTAAAATAAAATGTAAAGATATGTTTACCCATATCAAAATGAAGACGGATGATGAATATAATATGTGTGGCTGTGATATTGTGTATCTATTTTATTATGTCGAAAATGCAAGCTAGTATATAATCCTATTTATATTAAAAAATAGTCATGTACTCGTCACATTTTGTATGTATATTTATATAAAGAATTTTTAAAAACATCTGAATTTTCTTTACAATAAAACCCTTCATACCTGTACCATAGATCTAAATACAATCATAGATCTAAATATAACAAGTGTTATAAACGTCCTGTTAGTAACGAGTAGTTTAAGCACGAGCGGAGCAGAGCGGAGCGAGTATTTAATAAACGAGTGTCTAGAAGAGTTTATAAACGCGTATTTACATACTATGATTTTTCTACGAACTCCGGAAATTACATTGACATACCTGCAATTCCTGCTAACCTACAAAATAATTTGAAAGGAATGGGAATTGAGAATATAATACATGCAACTGCATGCAACCAGCGAGACACGTATAAGTGATATAGGGTGTAGATTTGTCCAGTCCATTGTTTACTAACCTTTGTTTCACGTTTATTGTCATGCTCAGCGCAGGATAAATACATTGTTCTGGAAGATGGATACTTCATTTTTACACTTCTTGGAGGTATGCAAGTACCGGAACATTCTCTTCGATTTCACTTTCGTCTACTTTTCACATATATTTTTAATAATGAATTCTGATACAAACGAATATTGTTCGAATAATACTGATACAAAATTCGAAAATAACAGTTGACAGTTAATACAATTGACAGGCCAGACATGTCTCAAATTATTGAAGCTGTGTTTAATGAACTGCGTTGCCATGGTAAAGTGTTTAAGGAATCGTGTTGTCATGGTAACGTGTTTAATATTTTGAATAAATGGTACATATCCGTACGCTAAATGCCATTTTAGTTATGTGAGTAGAAAAATTCCATTATTTCCATATTAACCAATTCATATTGTTACATACAGACCTAAATTTATACTTTTTGTTTTTGGATGTATGACAAATCGATATTCATCATACAGGACGTGAAAAGAAATTCTGAATTGAGAAAACCTAATCACGTATCTGCGATTAAAGATCTATAAAAATAACAAGTTTCCATCGTTCAAGTTTGAACCCCTTGATTGAGTGAAAGTATTGAAAAGGAATATTCTATACAGGGTGAGTCATGACTAACCAGCTATAGCCTAATGGTAGATAGAGGAAGTCAAGGTGAGTTGATATACAGCGTGTCTCATTTCAAACGGCCCCCCTCTATATCTCAGCTATCAGTCGAGCGATATCTACCAAATTTGTATCGGAATGAATAATCATCAATATGACCAGTACTTCAAAGACAAACATCATTTTGGACAGTGCCGTGCATTTTTATTGAAATGAATAGGGGTCAGTTTTTTATTAAATCCTATTAGGCATTTTTTCACAGGAAAACTGACCTCATAATATTGTTCTTCATGGTTTTGAACCCACACATATGTGGATTTTCATAAGATGCCTATTAAGGGTTTCAGAAAAACAGGCACATCTATCCCAGCGAGCACAAAAACATCTCAGAGATGTTAAAAGTACGAGATTTCGAGACATTGAACCTCCACTGCGATGTTCTGTTCACACATGAATAGAACTATTATAGAACAGCCATTGTCCGCCGCAGGCGGCAATTATAGAGATGTCACAAAACTACCTTCTTCCTAGTTCTTTTTAAAGCCTTTTCATGGACACAACAAAACATTTTCAACGCGTCTTGCGCACATTAAATCGCTGTAAAAAATAACATTTTCGAGGTACTTTTCTGAAGCCTTTCGTCCAAATGAACTTCTGCATTAGGATTCCATTTCCCTTGAATGAAAAAATGCATTAAAAATAGATTGAACATATAAAAATATTTTCTTGATATAAAATTACCTTCCTAATCGCTTTCTGAGTAGTGCTTACTACACACAGACATATAATTGGAAATAGGTTTCCCAACTTTTGAAATGTTCTCCACAATGCATAAGTTTGCAACTGCGGAGAAGCTGTGTATCATGGACGTATTCCATGCTGTGTATTGATAAATTCGTACTTCTATATATTGATTGCACTGAGGCACCGAACAACACATCTTGCATTTGATCTGATGGTCATTATTACAAACTAAATAAGTCTCCTAACACAATAAACTTCACCAAATTCCTTTCTGTTCGTTAGCAGCGTGATGTAAGCGTGACACGCTGCAAACGCGAATGCCAATTGCGAACAAGAAGAACAAAATCGAAAACAAATCAGAATTCATCGTATTGTGACGTAAGCATGAGACGTTGTGGTGGGGCAAACAAAGAAAGGGCACAAAAGAACAAAAACAATCCTTTCAATATCCTTCTAAGACCTCTTCGGGAAGTGCATATTACGCCTCAAAAAAACATCCTCATGACTACATTTCTAAAACATCCCAAAACATCCCAGGGATACCTCTCAGTAAGCAAACAAAGAAATGCCACAGAAGAACAAAAACAATACTTCAATATCCTTCAAAGACCTCTTTGGTCAGTGCATATTACGTCTCAAAATAACATCTTCATGCCAACATTTTCAAAACATCCCAGGGATGTTTGTGCTCGCTGGGTATTGATACTACACCAAATTTGGTTGGACGATATTTTAGGAACGTCTCGATGTTATCGCCACCACACGATGGCCTACTTTGGGGAAAAAAAATCCAGAGCCGGAAATCATTTTCTTTTAAATGTGAAAATTTCGACTTTCTGAATCGTATGTTTCAAAAACTTACATCAGAATCAGAAAGATCAGGAAAAACACAGTGTAGCATCTCAATTTGTACGGCACACTTCGACTGGATTAGTGAAAAATATCGAAGAAAATACTGATGAACGATTCCATGATTCTGTACTGGCTATTGTAGTCAAATCGTTCAACAAATTCATCTAAGTCTCTTCCTTGCATATTCGATGAAAAATTCCAGGACCAGACTCACTTTTCTTGAAGAGACTTCTCAAAGAATGGAAATAAGTACCTAATTCAAAAAAAATTCCAATACATACCTCCTCTCCCTATCCTTCCTAAGTACGCACGATGTTCTTCGAACATTATAGAAATTTCCTTTCGTGCGCTCCAAGAAATAAAAAAATATAAAAAATTATTGCTTAGGTAAAATATTTCTTCCGACTCAGATGTACGTGCCAACCAATACTACAATCAGCGAATCAAATTGTTCGCATGGTGTTTCCATTATTCAGAAAACACTACAAAAGAAGACTGTGATGGATGTATGAAGATGGACATAAATAGGTATTTTTTCTCAACAGGATGGGACACCTCCATACATTACACAATACAAGTGAGAGGATACCTAGACGAACAGTTCTCTAATCACTGGATAGGTCGTGACGGACCTAAATCTTGGCCCCCTATAGGTACCATAATCTCACAGTATTAGACTATTATCTATCTATGTATCTATGAAACTATTGGTAAATCATACTGAAGACATGATCAGATATGATCCGGAATAATAGGCACATTATTCGAAAGACCATAAGAGATTTTCCGAAGATATGCAGAAAATGTATAGAAATCAGAAGTATCAGAATTCTGAATCTTGAACCACCCTGTATCTGTTCCGATGAAAGATCAGAAAATAGTGAATAAAAAATTGAGATTGGGACATGTAAGCCGTTTTGACGGATAATGAATAGTTTTGACACAAACAAATCCTCAAGTTGAAAAATCTCGATTTTGAACACCCTATATCTCTGTAATCATTTCCGATAGACCCCATGTGTGATGCAACACTGCATTGCTGAAAATATTCGAAATGAAGAGAGCGTATAGCATGCATATTCTCATGGATTTTTCCCGAATGATTCTCGATATACAAGGTGATTCTAAAATAGGTGGTCAAAGTTTGGGAGCATATAGAGTGGGTGAAATAGTTACGAAAACCTCCGTAAATTTTTTTTCTGAGGTGACCCCCAAGAAAGATACAGCCCCTCAAAGGGGGGCCTCAGAGAATGATTTTGTATTATTATCTCCAACACCTTGTATAACGAAAATCTCAAATTTTGTCCATCCACTTACTGTTTAGTGCCAGTTCGAATGGCGTTAAAATCATCTCAAAATTAAATACAGGGGTGTGTCAAAATAGGGAGGTAGGGGGTGAAAATAACCCCAACTTTTTTGTTCATCGCTATTTCAGTTTTTTGACATGAAATTATTATGAAATCTCAGGGCTATTTACATAGAAAAGGTGCTCTTGTTGCATCTCGATAAAATGAACTATTAGCGAATAAAATTTATTTTTTCAAGATTTCATTTAAATTGCGATTTTGGTATGTACTTAAGCTTAATTATCTAGGTAAAATCTCGCAACTGAATTTTTACCTACTTCTAATCATCTGATCAACCTAGAATCTGGCAGATGACAGTTGACAATGCGTTATGGCGGCCAATGTGGCTGACCAGATTTGAGATTATGGTCTCTAACTCAGTGTTAAATTCTACGTTCCATTTCGTTGGAGTTATGTTGTATAAAAATGTAATAAAATAAGGTAGAAAAAATCAGTGATAATAATGCTTCCGTTCAAATGCTCCAGGAAGTGGGAGAAGATATCTAGAAGCAAATTTTTCTAATTTTTAGAGCATTCACCATATTTCATCTTCAATTTTTTATTTCAATAGTTAATATAATAAAAGCTAGTTTTCAACAATATTTTTTATTTTAGTATTTTCAATAGGATCAGACCATAATCACGAAACTCGTCTATTTTTAATTCATGAATTCCGACAACGAATTCAAAACTTCCAACCCCAAAAACCCTTACAATCCAATTTTGAATCGCATCGGACCATAATCACAAATCTGGTCAGCCACATTGGAGCCGCCATATTTTTTTCTATCAAAAAGTCCATAACGCGTTGTCAACTGTCATCTGCCAGATTCTAAGTTGATCAGACGATTAGAAGTAGGTGAAAATTCAGCTGCAAGATTTGAACTAGATAATTAAACTTAAGTGCATACCAAAATTGCAATTTGAATAAAATCTTGGAAAAATAAATTTTATTCGCTAATGGTTCACTTTATCGAGATTCAACAAGAGCTTCTTTTCTATGTTAATTGCCCTGAAATTTCATAATTTCATGTAAAAAAACTGAAATTGCGATGAACAAAAGAGTTGGGGTTATTTTTACCCCCTACCTCCCTATTATGACACACCCCTGTATTTAATTTTGAGGTGATTTTAACTCCATTCGAACCGGCACTGAATAGTTAGTGGATAAACTAAATTTTAGATTTTCATCATACAAGGTGTTGGAGATAATAATACAAAATCATTCTCCGAGGCCCCTCTTTGGGGGGCTGTATCTTTCTTGAGGGGCACTTCAGAAAAAAATGTTACCGAGGTTTTCATAATTATTTCACTCACTCTATATACTCCCAAAGTTTAACCACCTATTCTAGAATCACCTTGTAGATATAGTGTAAGGTCGTCGTGACATATCCTGTATAGTGTATAATGTACCTATGTTGTATAGGTAGGTGTAGGTATTCATATCTGCATATATTATATCATGTTTAATACTAAAAAGCAGTTATATTCGTCAAGGGATTTTTATTATCTCATACGTTAGAACTCATTTCTCTTTTTAATTGATCGAAATATTGTAAATCATCGGTGCTAATGGAAGGTTTCAAATTTCGCATGGCATTTGCAAAGTCTTGAAAATTGACGATGACCTCTTTTTGCGACACATTTTCTGATGAAGCTTCACCTGTAAATATCACAAAATCTCAAATCAAGAGACAATTATTCGAATTATTCCAAGTATTTACCAGATTCTAATGCTCCTATCAGTCTTCTAACAGCAGATGACCATGCAGTGGAGCATATCCCGTAAAAATCAGCTCCAGTGATATTTTTTGGACAAATTCCCACTATTTCAGCTAAATCGACATCGGTGTCCAAATTGAATTGTCGAGTAAGAGCTTTCAAAACAGAAATTTTTGATTCCTTATCCGTACATGGGCCAATATACAATAGCTTGTCGAACCTTCCAGGTCTCAAGAGGGCTGGATCAATTAAATCTGGTCTGTTTGTTGCTCCTGGACATAAAATAGTACATTATACACCTAAAGAATAAAGTGGTATTTTAAATCCCTAGACAAAAATTGTATAGCCCGACCAACTGGAGGGCTATAATTTGTTGACACTTTAGTCCCTAGGTGTATACAGGGTGGCCCACGGTCGATGGTACCTCAGACGTATACGGAAAACGGTACGAAGTAGCATCATCTTTGTTATTTCAAATGGAACACCCTGTATTTCATTGCGTTTTTAGATTCTTCTCGAAGAGCTGATTTCATCAATGCATCACACTTGGGGTCTAGCAGGAATTATTACAGAGATATAGGGTGTTCAAAATCGAGATTTTTCAACTTTAGGATTTTTTTGTGTCGAAACTATTCATCATTGGTCAAAACGGCTTACATGTCCCTATATTAACTTTTGATTAACTATCTACCGACATTCAATTGGAAAAAATACAGGATGGTCCAAGATTCAGAATTTTGATCACCCTGTATCTGTTCCAATTAAATGTCAGTTGATAGTGAATCAAAAGTTAAGATAGGGACATGTGAGCCGTTTTGATCGATAATGAATAGTTTCGACACAAAAAATTCCTGAAATTGAAAAATCTCGATTTTGAACACCCTATATCTCTGTAATAATTCCTGCTAGACCCCAAGTGTGATACATTGATGAAATCAGCTCTTCGAGAAGAATCTAAAAACGCAATGAAATACAGGGTGTTTCATTTGAAATAACAAAGATGATGCTACTTTTTAGTAAATGTGGCAACGCTGCATCGCTGAAAATATTTTGAATCGTTAGATCACAAACGCTTATTAGAGTAACCAAATTTTCAGGATAATCCAATGTACCGTTTTCCGTATACGTCTAAGGTACCATCGACCGTCGGCCACCCTGTATATATCCATTTTTTGTGTTCATAAATATATCTGAGAATATTCCTTTTTGATATTTGAGATATTCATGAGAAAACAAATTTTTTAAAGTTTAACACACTGTATCTTGAAAACAATGCATTTCCGGACCCACATCGTGTAGATATATGAAATGAATTTCATGTTTTCTCATGCAGAATCACCCCCTTGATTTTTTGCGCATAATTTCCGGACACCCTGTATAGGGTACCATAAATATTCAATTTGATCCTGAGTGTTTCGATTTACATGAGAATAACGTCTCACAAATTTTTCTTATCTCGAAAATCTTCTATGCACTGCAGGATAGGTAAAACGTTAAAGAACAATTAACGAAATTCTAAATGGTAGTTAATCTATTCCTAAAACATCATCGAAGGGTCTGATCGGTACCATATCAACGACCCCAGAACTATGGTGATCCAGGTCATGATTGTCATCGGCAACTGAAAATCTTGGTGTGTTATGACAAGTAACTTAGTGAAACATGAATAAATAAATATTTGTCAAACACGCCATACCGATTGAGTGACGTTGATCGCGAAGGAACAAATCGAAAAGGCAGCTCAAGAAGGTGAAGGCAAAGCTAGCATATTTCTTGGAAAAGTCAAAAGAGCTTAAATTGTGGAGCGTATATTCGATGATAAAAGCTACAATTGCAACAGACATTTTGAAAATACATTTCTAAATTTAGCTTTCATTGCAAAGAAATCCCTAAGGATTTGAAGTAACTTTGAATCCCCAGGGGTTTTAATTACCACTTTTTCCCCGTAAATAGGGAATAGAGGTACCCTTTAAATCCCTGAGGTGCATAAAATAATAATAGACAATTCTTTGTCGACTGGAAGAACTGATAATTGTCGATGATAAAATGTCAATACGAAAAAGTTAGGAGAATATTTTCCTAGTCACACTTAGCATGAAACACTCAAAAATATAGTTTTTTAACCAACTCCAATTCGGTTATCATTATTTATCACTTTTTGAACGTTGCAATTAATAAATGCCTATTCTAGGAACCAATAATATTTCTTCAATTTCCTAAACCTGTAGTAGAAAAAATGGCTCAAGCAATTTTTTACGATTTTTTCACTCCCTCGTTTTTCGATTGATTGCCATGACAATAAAATTTGAATACAATTTGAAATGAATTCATTAATGAAAACATTTCTCGAATGTACTTTAGGGAGATTAATACACAGCTATAGTATAAAGACAATTTGATTTGAAGAAGAAACGGTTTTAAGAAAACTCGAAAGGTATCTGACGATAGTGAGGGTATGACAGAAGAGAAGTGACATGAACAACATATAAAAATCCTGACCCGGGAAGAGGATGAGAGTATAGGGAAGCGTTCGAAAGTAATGCATTCTTGAATCTTTTGAATTCTCAGATATACAGGGTGAGTAAGTTTTTTGTAGCAGGACTTCAACAGCAAGATGAAAAGTTCATGTGAACATAATATATAAGCGTGGGAGCTTCGTTTCCGATATACAGGAAGTCAAATCGAGATTTTTTCAATGTTCTTCAAGTTTTCTCCTAAACTTTTCGAAATAATGAATTGGAGTTTGGTATATTTGGGGCTATTAGGCAATTAATCCGCTTGAACTTTCTTGCTTGTTACCTCTGATGCTCCCAATGAAACATAAATCTAGATTCTTCGTTCTATTTTGAACTTTTTTGCCCGTCTATATGTTTTTTGAAACCTGTATAGATTTCGAGATTAATGCCAAGAATAATTTACTTGTGATAAAACTTCATTTTTCGAACACATTCTATTTAACATTCATTAATAATTGACTAGAAGACCAGGATTGATCGAAAGCTTTAATGAGATGTGTTGGAAACTCAGTGACAAAACAAGGAAAACACAATAAAAATATATAAATTCGCATTCTATAAATCATAAAAATATTAATTATTTTTCGGTATATTCAGCAGAAAACACCTAGGTATTTTCCTGGCTATATGCCACGCGATCATTGATTAACATCTATTGAACATACGGATTAGGACTTTTAGTATATATTGTTCAGGACACTTCCCCCTACTACTTCTTCTATTTTTCACTTCATTGAACTATAGAAGCTGTAGGAAAATAATTTGTTTTACATTTTTGTGAATTTATTTGAAAGGATTTGCTGTATCAATAACCCAATGGGCACACGTGCGTTTTTTCAACGTATTATCAACGTAGAACAAGTTAGATAGACGTTTATGCTTGAGAAATTCAACGTTGAAATATGGTTGAAGTATTTAAACTTGAATCTGAACGTTTTATAAACGCATTGAAAACTATATGTCCTGACGATCTGTTGAAATTATGCATTTATAAAACGTGCCTCCGAAACGTTAGTTAGACGTTCGAAATAAACGTTTCTTTAACGCGAATCTGTCACCATTTTCTGAGTGGAAGAAGAACGCGAATGAAACGTATTTTCAACATCGTTTTTCATCTGTTATTCGTCAACGTGTAATATAAGTAATCGTTAAATTATATTTTATATCATAGTTGAACTGTTCAAGGAAAACTAACATTTGTACCAAATACCCCTTATAAACGTTCGGTATCAAACAATTTAGCAACGTTTTTCCAACGTCACTGAGCTCATTGGGAAGTAACTATTTTAGAAGGAAACATCGATTTCCAGTAAAGTTGGATATCCACCTAAACACATTTTTTTTATTATTTAAAGATCAAAAATAGATGAATATATCTGAATTCTAATTTTTTACTTAAAATTCAGCCAGACAACACGCCACTGTGATTTATGATAAAATTAAATAGTTTGATAATTTTAATTTGTTCAATGTTATATTGAAGGTAACGAACTATTTTACTCCTTCCATATATTATGCAAGAATCAAAATCAAAGTACCATTATGATACTGCATGGTTAATCTCTGATATTTTTTTCATTATGTTCATATATTTCGTCAGACCAAATACCGATTCCTACAATGTATGCCTATAATATGTTGTGCAATAGTTTCCACACAAAACAGGCATTGAAATTCCGATTGATTCTCACCAATGATGAATACTATTGCTGACTCATTCAATCCATCCATTTCCGCAAGAAGTTGTGACACAACTCTATCCATAACTCCCCCTGAATCACCGGACATTCCTCTATTCGGGGCGAGAGAGTCGAGTTCGTCGAAAAATATTATACAAGGCGATGCTCCTCTGGCCCTTTCGAATACTAAAAAGAAATTAATAGGTAAGTTACGAACAATTTCTGATATTTTTTCTATTATTGTGACCTATTGTGGACGCGCTAGTCAGTGGTCACCACTGACATTACCGAATTGTCATGAAACTTAGAGCCACTGGATGGTACTTATTTGTAGATAAGAGTTCGGACACAGCTGGACATCTGTCCATTTCTATTTTTTATATTACAACGGTTTGATTGGATACAAGAATGAGACATATATTCTGCTCTTTGTCTTTTCAATTTCCCTAGTAGCACCTGACTGTCAGATACTATTTTAGAGGTTAGATTTTCGGTCAAACCAATTGTAGATGGAAAATAGAGATGGGGTATAAACACTCACTTTAATTTATATTCGCGAGATTCACGAAGTGGGCGACATCTAGGTTACATAATACGAACTTCAAACTGGGGGAAAACAAACTGTTGTCTATGGATAAAGTGCATAAACTTCATTGCATACAGCTTGCTGTGGCTGTAGTTGACAAACTTGTCAATGACATTAAATGTTGGCACTGTTGGCAGTGATGATGGTTGAGTTGGTTAATTTTTTAAATCATTACATTTTTATTAGATTAGTGAACAGTGAACGGGTGAAGAATTGGAGATAGTTTAAACAATTCAAACTAATTATGGCGAGCAAGATCAAAAGATCCAAAGCTATCCCATCAATACCCAGATTGTCCTGCTTAGCAGGATAACAAATATCATTCCATTGTTCTACAGGAGTTCAACTGGACCCCAACTTCAATTTTATTTCATGTGGGGAAGATTTCATCACCGAAGTTTGTAGAGAAAGTGCAAAAATGTGCCTTTTGTTGAAGTCTTCTGCCTCACACAAAATTACATGATTAGCACTGCTTCTCCTTCTACTATTGGTCGGCTTTTTCCATCTAAATAGAGCAGAATATCTGCCGAAAGAACATCTACAATATGCATTATTAGCATTTTCGATGGAATATTGACAATGAATGTCAAGAAATTTGAAAACTTATCACTTTTATCAGTACACAGTACACAAGCTAATGGCACTGATGGGATTGATTGAGGATTGAGTTTGTTTTTCCCCAATTTTTACGTGGCTTTGACATGGAACGATAAAAACCAAGCGCCACCTGTTAACATTGATTGATGAAATGGAACAGCAGATTCTCTCAATCTTGAAATCTTTTAGCTGTTTGGAAATATGGGCCTAAAATATAGTTTCATTCTAATCTGCTCTGTTATAAGAAGTGAATTTCAATTCTAATCTATGTACCTCACAAATTTTGCTTGTGTTCAATTTTCCATATAGGCCGTTTCATACATATTCCTTTCATAAGAGAATGAGGTTGATATTTCCTTTCGCGGCTTGAATAAATCAAATCCATTGTCTTCAGAAATCCCATAAATAATTACATAGCAGGACATCTTCATTCAGGCTTTCTTCTCAATAGTTTATGGAATTATATTTCAATTCTGACGTTCATGAAATGTATTGTGAAATTCTGACAATTTTGAATGTAAAAGCTCGGAACGACTATGGTGCTCTTGTCACAATTCAAGGTATGTAACTTAATGGATCTAAACATCCAAGTCGTTATCACATGACGGTAGTATGTTCGGAATAATAGCAGCAAATACATCGCTGTGTCGTGGATTTGGCTCAGACTGAGAGGTGGCACAGGTAGGTTTTTGAAATCTACCATTTAATTGGTATCAGATGCCATAATTCTTATCTCGTTATCAAATCGCGAAATCGAGTGCAAATTTCCGCACAGCAAAGTGCAATTTTTCAATCATTTTGCTCAGGATAGTGATTGGCACAGGTGCCGTTCGATGAACTAAGATGGTTTTACATGCCTTCGGGACATATACAGGGTGAGTCATGACTAACCAGCCATAGCCTAATGGCGGATAGAAGAAGTCAAGGTGAGTTGATGTATATGTGAAAAAATATGTTTTTCCTGTTCGTAACAGAAATACAGGGCATTATTTGTACTCGAGGCGAAACGTCGATGAACGATATTTCAGGAACGTCTCCATGTTATCGCCTGAAATACATCAGCAACTTACCTGTACATGGAAAAAAACCAGAGCCGGACTTGGGAAATTCATTTCCTTATTAAATGTCATAATTTCGACTTTCTGGATCGTATTTTTGAAAAACTCTCATCAGAATCAGAAAGATCAGGAAAAACACTACAAGTGTAGCTTTTCATTTTGTACGGCACACTTCGACCAAATCGTTAAAAAATATCGAACAAAATACCTGCCGATGAACGTTTCCATGATTTCGCATATTGTAGTCAAATCGTTCGACAAATTCATCTTATCTATTTCTTGCATATTGAGGCTCTATTCGATGAAAAAATCCAGGACTAGACCTGATTTTCTGGAAGAGACCTCTGAAATATGAACATATATAAATAATTTCCAATCGAAATCTGCTTCTACATGTGGAAATGTGGAAACATTGAACTCAATATGAGGAATTATCGCTTATAGGTGAAAGATTTCTATCCGAATCAGATATACGTGACTACTACCATCATACTACATAGAGGAACTTTTGAAGAACTATTGAATATGATCTCATTGCATGTGAACTCTCTCAATCAGAAAATTAAAATGTGAGTTTGGTGTTTTCACGATTCAGAAAGCACTAGAAAAGAAGGCTGTGATGGATGTAAGCAAATACATTGAAAGAGGTATGTCATTTCAACGGGATGGGGCACCTCCACATTACTCAATACAAGTTAGAGGATACCTAGACACCCAATGGGTTTATATCACAGAAATTTTTTATTTCATAATTCGATAGAACTCACCCGAACTAGCTCACCACCGCAAGCCGTTTCTTGCTGTGAGCTCCCTACGTTTTATAAAAAATTATTGAAATCCCCGATTTTTTGGACCTCTGAAAAGGAGGCGTGGATGTGACGTCAAAACCCTAATACTGAAACATGACTATTCCAGACAGAGATGAATGATACATGATATCTGACAAAGTGACTTAGAGCGAGATCACAGTTGAAAGAATTAATATATCAGTTGCCTCAGCCTCCGTCAGGCGTTTGGTATTTTCTTCTAACTATGGCGAGATGAGGTTTCTACGTCATAAGAGGGTCCGTTTTCAGAAGGTACTATTATTTATGTCCAAAAATGAAACATTCCAGTTAATATTTTGATCGAATTATGTCGTCAATCAATATTTATATATATAAGGATCGTTATAAACATGGTTTGAGTTAAAAGTTCAACTAAGCTGTACACGCTCATTCTCTAATCGCTGGATAGGTCGTGGCGGCCCTCATTTTTGGGCTTCTATTTCTCCCAACAGTATTAGACTATTATCTATGGCGACATATGAGACGATTGGTATATCAGACTGAAGTCAACACTAGATAGGAACTGAAAGAGAGGATAATTACAGATTCAGATATGATCAGAAATAATAGGCAAATTCGAGGACAAATTATTCTAAAAGCCATGAGGGATCTCCTGAAGAGATGCAGAAAATGTGAAGAAATTGAAGAAGAACATTTCGAGAATCTTCCTTGAAGATTGTCAAGGTATAGACAAAAGTTTTTTCCAAAAGGCAAGTCCGGTCATGAATTTTTTCATTGAAATAAAACTATACTCAACTTTGCTGGTATATCAATATGCGAAAAAAAATTCACTACCTTGTCGAATGTAAAGTAATGTGTCCGGACGAAATCGAAGAAATATTCTTCAGTATTTTGTTTGAATTTTTTACCCAATCGGTCGAAGTGTGCCGTACAAATTGAAAAGCTGCACTTGTAGTGTTTTTCCTGATCTTTCTGATTCTGATAAGAGTTTTTGAAAAATACGATCCAGAAAGTCAAAATTATGACATTTATAAAGAAAATGAATTTCCCAAGTCCGTCTCTGGATTTTTTTCCATAGTAGGCCATTTTATGGAGTGTTAGTAGAGGTGAATTGCTGGTTATTTCCAGACGATAACATCGAGACGATCGTGAAATATCGTTCATCAAAGATTCGTCCAGAATTCAAATAATGCCCTGTATTTCTGTTACGAGAAGGCGAAATATGTTTTTTCACATATATAACAACTCACCTTGACTTCCTGTATCCGCCATCAGGCTATGGCTGGTTTGTCATGACTAATCAGGCTATTGCTGGTTAGTCATGACTCACCCTGTATATCATTTAGTTATTAGATTATATGATCGAAATTTGCAGCTGGCTCTTATACTATATCATTATTTATTGTCCACTACATCGCGCCTCTCAAACATGATAGACCAGGAGCTGGTTGAAGAATGTTCGTGTTTTTTCGCGATATTATACTGATACGGACATTTATTCATATGAAGTTCTAACATTATTTTGGCTCACTTTATGAACCCTATCATTTACGACATGACCTTTCCGGATACCCTGTATATTGTTAGATCTTTACAAACTGATCATCTTGCCTACCTTCTCTGATATTTTGTTCAGATTGACCGACGTACATATTGAGCAACTCCGGTCCTTTTACTGACAAAAAACAGAGACCGCACTCGGTAGCCACGGCTTTGGCAATCAGCGTTTTACCAGTTCCAGGTGGCCCAAAAAGTAAGATACCTGAAAACATAATACATACAGTGTGTGTGATTTCAACCCGCAACACCCTTCTAATTTGGAATGTGACGATAGATTTACAAAAACAAAAATTCCATAATAAAGTACTCAACGAGCTCAATTGGAGAATCTGAAGAAAATTGAAATATTTTTAATTCCAAAGCCTACTTTTGTTTGTTGAAGGAGTCAAAATCTCAATAACGACTATTGGGCATTTTTTTCGAAACTGTAACTAGCCTATTCGAATCAGGCATTGCTGAACTACTCCCATACGAAATTTGAATGCAAAATCTTATATAGGGTCTTAGTTATTCAGTGGAGAATTTTGATATTTTCAATTTTTTTATTCACCCTGCTTCAAAATCTAACTGGAAGATATCTCTGGGTTAGCCAAAAATCAATAAAATTGAAGTTGAAGAGAAATTTCCTGGAAATACTAATAATGGTGACTAGTTCGAGGGAATATTCCCTATACATTACAATTTCTATTGTAATATCAAATTCCCTTCGATTTCGCCAGTTTAAAATTATGATCACATTATTAAGTATCAGTAAATCTCCTTGCAGTTTTTGTATAGTGTTCGTCTGTCATTTTATTTTTATTATAATCGACACTTATTTATCAATCGAGATGATTTTCAAAGGTAGGTACTGTGTGATGAAGTGTGTGAAAAACGGTTTACTTGAGTTTTCGAAATGGTGAACTTAGTTATATTGATTTTTATTTGACCTATTATAGAGAGATCTTCCTGTCGAAGTTTTGTTCAAATAGAACTGCTTTTTTCCGGCTGACAACCCCCATTTCGATGTGTTCAATCTAATTATTGCTGCAAATGGTATGATTCCTCTCATCAGTAGCTTTTGTATATTTTTTCATCGTTGTTTCTTACAGGTTTCTATATTATGTGTCTGATGATGGCCGAGTGCCGAAACTAGTTACACGTCTTATGTAATAAATTTGTTGTGATGGTCGACCGATTTTGGGTTTTTTGTATTTTTTCTTTGAAAAGTAGGCCTTGAAAATCTGGATATTTCATATTTGTCCACATTTTTGAATAAAACTTGTTGATACTATATCATGAAATTTTTGTTTTTGAAAATTAGGATGTTGTTGCGGGTTGAAATCGCACACACTGTATATTTCTTTGTATACATATTTCTTGTTGAGACCTTGTGTTGTATAAATAATTCTTGATATCTTATATATGATGTACCCAAAAATTTATACCTGATCTTCTCAATCCGGACTTTTCAAAGAACTCTGGGTGCTTCAGTGGTAGGTTTATTGTTTTTATTATTTCTTCTTTTACGTCACCTAGACCACCTACATCTGACCACAGCACTTTAGGTACTTTAGGAGCTCCAAGACTATCATTATAGTTCTTCTGCATATGATCTAAAAGGTACATCCGCTTGAAATCCATATTGCCTTCTTATGTTTTCCATATTATATGATCTAACGAAGTTCAACTTATAAATCAGAAATATGTCAAAAATACAACCACAAAAATGAGAGCTATCCAGTTAAAAAACCGATCACAATTAATAGTTATTCATACACTAAGGTAATAAAGAACATCATTATTACCCAGGGGCCAAGATTATATCCCAAGGCTTCAGCCGAGGGGTATAAGGTCCAGTGCTAATAATATTCCTTCCTACCAAGGTGTATATTAGATTGTTTCCTCCACTAGCAATATAAACTGCTCAACATTGATAACGTCGTGGTCCAAAATATAGCCTGAATTCAAAGTAGAATAACTCACGAACTTCCTTACCAATTTGGAATCGGTTTTCACCGATGATTAGCCTGATCTCTTGACAGTTTGTTGTGGCAATATGAAACTTCTGTAATTTCAGATAACATTGCTACAGGGTGATAATTGAATAGGTGTAATATTGCATCGTGGTCGTCACCTTACCGTTTGAACAGATAATTTTTTTTATTTTTTTTCATACTTGTATCCTCTTGATTGATGCTTTCTCTCGAAACTTTTTCGGAATTTTCGAATTCAGAGCATTGATAACCGTGTTATGAATATATGGAGAAGAAAAATTATTGATGCAATCGATTAACTGTCAAACACATAAAACATTTTGTGTAGGTACACCGCCTACTAAGTGAAATAATTATGAAAAAATAGACTGATAGCCCTGTGGATCATCGTATAAGAGAAACAATTTTAGTTTGATTATTCCAAATAGGAAGATCATGTGATAGGTACATGGCGAAAATAAAAGACAGATAGTTTCTGTACGAGTAGCTGAATTCGAAAAAATATGTTCCTATCTTAGATTCCTAAATATCATGAGTTATTTTCGAAGGTTTTCATCTTGACTCAAACAAGCTATTGACAACCTGCAGACATTGATCAGAATATCAAAACATTCTGAATAATATCGGTTTACTAATGATATTTAAATTTCAAAGCCTACCAAGTGTCGATATATCATCGAATTCATGTCACAGCCAACTTACTCTTTTTGAATAAAAAGCAATTCAACAGTGTCACTTTGTGATACATGGTTGGATAGAGAATTTCAAGGCGAAAAAGATAGACTGAAGAAATGTACAGGGTGACGTTTGAAAAAAAAAGTTGGGGTCACTTCCGGTCAAACAGGTGGTTGAAAAAAAAAGTCGTTAAGTTCGTAAAGTGCGCTACCATTTATTATATACCCCCTGTGAATTTCTGTTTTCTGTTTTTGAAACCTTCAAAGTGTCCTCTATCTATAGGTATCGTATATGTACATTCAAATCTGAAACACCCTGTACAGCAAAACTACGTTTGCCGGGTCAGGTAGTCGATAATAATTTTCACTGACGATAATAGACTGAAATTTCGATCCTCACCTATTGCTTTCAAAAAGTTGACATCGCCAAGATTAACCTCTCCTATTGAAGTTGATCTGAAATCCTTTTGCGCATAGTAAATCAAAGCTTGCAGATCCCCAAAGTAAAACCCATGAGTCTTGTTAGCAATATCAGCCAAGTTAGCCTCAGTTCTGAAGTCTTTCTCGTCCAAGATCCACCTCATATTTTGTTCACGTTGAATATCAGAGGGTGCACTTATTTCGAAACATTCCAAAAACAGTTTTTTCAGATCCGTAGGCACATCTTTCTTGTTACTACAGCAGAACAGAAGAACAGGAAAGGTATTTTTCTCGAAAAGGATCTCTAGTTCGTCTGCGAAATTGCTCATTATCCGTTCATCGAAGATACCATCATTGTTTTTCCCGAAATTCTATAAAATGCGACAAGGATTAGGTTGATCCCAATTCAGAAAATAGCTGATATTTGTATAACTGGGCAATTAGAAACTTTCCACCCTAATTTGTAGGATTTAAAATCAAAATTTTGCTCGAACACATCGATTTTGGATTCAAGGGGGAACAAATGTTCAGCTTTTTTCACTCCTGCAGCGTTAATCCTGTAGCTGGGGGGTAAACAACCCCCACAATTTGCATAGGGGAAAGGGATCTTGCCATACCTCTCTTCAAAGGTCCCATCTAGTTCTTCATGTCTCTATAATTTTGCCTGATTATTTTCAGCGATAACGAAATGAAAGCTGGTAAAAATCATGGAAATAGACTAAATTTTTCGTAATAAAAATACCAAATAATTAAAGTTTCAAGTTTTATAATCATATGTACCCGTCGAACAGCTTTTTAGATGAATACGGGGGTAAAAACGCTGGAAATTAGTTCCCCCTCAAATCAAATTAGGATGAAGAGTTTCCATGGCCCTCCCTGTATATTTCGGACATGAATAAATAAAGTAACTTTTACCTCAAAGTTCCGGATGGCTATAATACATGGTGCAGCCATTTTGGCATTGAAGAATATGTTGTGCAATTTAGTTTCATTTTGAGCATAGACATTGGCTATGAGCTCATAATTATTGATTTGATAATAATGCATTCCAAGGTAAGCTGCCAAAGATGATAACAATATATCTTTTCCGCTACCTGGATTTCCCGTAAGGAGGAAAGTTGGTTTCAGGTTTATTTTTCCTTCAAAAATCGAAATCATAAATAAATCATAATGAATCGAGTTTCTAGTAAGTATTTGCTTATGTACATTCACTTACTTCCTGTTATGAAGGGTTTAACTGCTCTCTGAATTTTCTCCAGGTCTTTTTCAAATCCATATGGACATAATGGAATCCGGAAACTACTCGGATTGTCTTTGGATACAATTTTGGCTATCTTTTTTGGAAGAAAGCTTTGTATATCTACAGATTGTGACACAGATGTTTCACCAATGACGCAATAGTAAGTTTCAAAAACTTCGACATTTCCATGAATTACTTTGTTGCATTTGAAATATATACTTTCAACGTTGCTAAGTTTGTTATTGAGTAGAAGTACGTCTTCTGCGAAAAATTTAACGTCTATTTCTATTATATCACCTTTGTTGACTAGCTTCGGCTTTTTGAAATACCGTTCCAAGATGGCATCAGTTACAGAATGATTTATATCTAAAGGAGAGTTGATCAAAGATATATTGATTTCTTCGGCAAATTTGATCTTATTCATACTGGAAGCTAGTAACTGAATAGGTGAATGTATTTTAACATTTTCTAAATTCTCATTCAAAGTCTCAGATAGGCCTACAACATCTTTCTCCCATTCTGATATTGGTAATATGTGGACACTTCTATATTTACAATTTCTTTCACAAAATAATAAAAGTAATTTGTCGCTTCTATAAACATTATGTTTGTTAACTAATAGTACGTTATTGACATCATCCAAAAAATTGTTAGCTTTCACAAGTTTCTCTATAAGTTTAATGGGCACTGATCGAATCTTGTATTTGGTCTTTCTTTTCACTGTCCTATTGTACAACACATACATATAAAATATGAACCAGATAGGGTGATATTTAGGGTAGATCAACTTCAAAGCGGTGAACAACACTTTCGAGTATTGGCTAAATTCTTCCATTTTGAGAGTCATTTTATGTAAGTTTCCATCTGGAACAAAACATTGTGATGGAACTCAAATCTAATTCAGAACATGACATTAAAACTATTTCAAGAGCAATTAGATGTCACCGCTAATTATTTTTCTTCTTCAATTATTAATCATTGAAAATATGGTGAATTCCCTAAATAAAATAATTGACTACGGCTATGTGGTCATTGTAGTCTATCAAAAATCAAAACAATGCTCTGCCACCATTCATCGACTTTTAGTCAGCATTGCAAAAAAGACCATAAACAAATTCACTTACCTATTAATCAATAAATGGAATCATGTCATATGATATAAAGAAGGAATAATTGTAAAATATTAAAATATTGCACTAACTACACATTTCTATAAGTGAGGTTATGTGAAATTCATATAATTCTAGAACGTTGTCAAGTCCAGTGCTGCCAATGCAATTCGAGTCCTTCCTTCTCTTTAGCACGTGAAATCCTCCGCAAATGAACGAAAACCTCCTCCCGACAAGGTTAACTGAATTTGACGTGTGTTCTATGTTCTGCGGATAAATTGCTATTTTCAAAATACACCTTTTTTGAATGAAAGACATGATTGATAAATTAATAAATCATTCATTTTCGAACAGTCATATATATATATATATATTCATAAATGGAATTATTCATTTCCAAACAATCATATATATACGTGGAACAAACCGAAAAAAAAAACAAACTACACATTTGTTAGAAAAAGATTTCATTGAATTTCTTATTTTTCCAAACACTGGTTTTGAGTATGAACATTTTTTCAGTGCGATAATTTACCGAATCCGTATTTAGCAAGAGACATAATTATTATGATGACAATGAGCCAATGAGTAATTAAAATACAACTGGAAATATTAAAAAAATCTGTTATTTTTATTTGTCATTATTCTTTGGTTGTTGGTTGTGTGGTCAAAGTGTAAAAGAGATTTATACCAATTACTAATATTTGGTATATATGAGATTATGACGAAACTTGACATCATTCACACCATTGAGACCGACCACAGAACTAAAACCGAAACCGACGGTTATTTATTTATTTACTACCACCACCACAGAAGCACAGAACAAGAACACAGACTCCGACTTCATAGACTCACGGAGGGTTCGATCATGATCATGATTGGATCATGGACAGATGTTGCACGCGCAAGCCTCAACTAAAGTTGAGTAACAAAATTACAATGATGGCTGAAAAAACCCCTTTCCTCCGCTTTGTGTGAATCCTCCTCCAAAAAAACCTCTAACGCCAAAAACAACCCCTTTTCGGAGGATCCTCCGCACATTGGCAGCACTGGTCAAGTCTATGAAATGATTGATATGTTGAAATGTATATACTCAGTGGTAGAATAGAAACTATGAATATCTGTAAACCAAAACAGGAGTATCATATCATTCGTGATAAACGTTATTTAATGCATGTTGAAATTGTTTGATTAGAGAAAATAGGGCCACTCCCACTCGCATCAAGAATTCACTTATAGTAGTTTTATCGGCAAATCACTGGACCCGGCAACAGCGTACGCGTCAGCATGTTGTGTTGTCTAACAGCCAGGGCCATGTGCAATCAATTGAAGTCCCAAATAGGTGCAAATAGCAACACTCGACAATAATTCAAATTTGCTTATCTTTAAAAATGTCTGGGTACAAAATACAAAAATCTTTCTATCCTGAAATTCAAAGGTGACATCTCCTCACTTTTGTAGTTGGCCATGGAACGCACTAGAAAGTGATTTCAAATGGATCAAACTGTTTCAAATTCTTACCTACATTATAACATTATATAAGTATACTTTAGAATCGACAAAGTCTCTGGACCAATAACCAAAACCAGTGAAAAGTGAAAAATTTATGTAGATAAAAAATACCTGATGACTCACGTTATCGGGGGTTGTTTTGTTGGGGATGATTACGGGCGGCATGGCGCACGCTCCAGAAAAGCAGAATGTTTTGAATTGAACAGGGAGAAACACCCTCTGTTTGCCGGCGTTCATTCAACAAGGGGTGCGTGCTATTCTTTTAGTCATTCCCTGCGAATTTTCGTATTTTTTTAATTCAAAAGTGTGTCTAGTGTGACTAATATTTATTAGTGACTTTTTTACGGTGTGAAAATAAATCCTACGTAGTTACAACAATTCAGTCAGGTAGGCGAAATTATATATATTTTAATTTCAACAACTGAATGCATGTAGAACCATCAGGTATTTTTTGTGAGCCCCAATTAATTTTTGTTTTCATCGAATCCTTCCCTTTTCTTTCAAAAATTGCTATACAGGGTGTCTCACGACGATGAAGACAAGAAATATCTCGGAACACGAGAATATAGTACTTATAGAAATTTGCAATTTTGTGGTCGTAAAGTAATGCAATTGGTGCAGCTTTTTTTGATATCATGTCCTTTTTGTTTTCGGTCTGGTGACGTCACATCAAAATTATTATTGGGGCAACCTTTATAAGTATTTTGGTATTTCTATGTTCCTCCTGATAAAACGATTCCAACAAACTATCACACTTGTGGTCTGAAACGATTAATATAAGAACTATATATACAGGTACTCCAAACCCAGTCAACACACGGACATTCGATGGACATCCATTGGACGTCCATTTAGGATATTTGGGATATCCAGAGAATATCCAGTGATATCCGATGTATATCTTATGGACGTCCAATGGACGTGCCGAGTGGAAGGAGTTGGACTTCTATAGGATATCCTTCAGGGACATCCATAAGACATTTTTCAGGGATATCCATAAGATATTGTTCACAAATATCCATAAGACATTTTTCAGTGATATCCATAAGATATTGTTCACAAATATCCATGAGATATTTTTCAGGGATATTTACTAAATATCCTTAACAATATAGAACACCATGTATATTATTCCATAATGAATTAGGAACTATTATAACGAATTCAACGGTACCGGATTGGATAGGGTTATTTCAAACGATTACGAAGATATTTGCATTCGAAGTTTTCATATGCTCATTGAGGATATGGAAATGTGAATATCTTCCTAATCGTTTGTAGAAATCCTATCAAACACAGTATCGTTGAATTCGTTATGATAATCCTTAACCGATTATGGAATAAAATACAGGGTGTCCCGTTTGAAAATGCCATCCCCGATTAAAGTGCCAGTTATGAAGCAAACATGTAGGTACATACAACACAAATAAATAGTTGATCTTTTTGACATTTATTTGAAAAGTACAACTACCAAGGACAGGTTTGACATTTCCAGAAAAGAAGTTGCTCGTCCACCCTGTTTGTGATAGGAAAATTGAGAATATTCATTATGTTTCATATAACTGGTCTCTTCATTTTCTTCTTAAAACAGGGCATCTCATCGATAGGAATACTGATTGTATTAGTCCCTCTGTTGATTGCTTTTTGTGTCAACCAAGCATATTTATATCTCTGGAAGATCCCACATTCTTCCTGAAAACAATGATATAGAGTTGAGTTTCAGGGGTACCAATATCATTATTAGGGAGAGTTCTTCTTACCTGACACACACAGTGGACTGTAAACATAATGAGGCATAATACTTATTATATTTCAATGCAATCATTTGCATCCATTTGACCAGCCAAAACCAGGTGGCCCGCATTTATGAGCTCAGCTTCATTTTGGAGACACTGAATCACTGAAAAAGATTGAAATGCACAGGCTAAATGGCCAAATCATAAGAATTCTTGTTCAATAATGATAAAAACTTACAGCTTATGTTGGTATAGGTTTTAGGTTCAACATTCCAACTAGAGGTAGGTAGGTGTTCTACTGTTAAACATCAGAGATATTATTGTCCTCAATCAAAACACAATGAACCACTGGAAAACACGGATTTAAAAAATACACAAATATCAAAGCTGAGAATGATTGAGAACTCAAAACGAAATTAACATAAACACACCTCTCAATAAACACCATCACCAAAACCAAACAATGTAAAATATAAACAATCAAATAGTACTGGCTTTCGCCGTTCTGGCTCTGGCGCTACGATCTCTCTTTCGTTTGACATGGCGGTATTTTCAAATCATTTCACCCGATTTATAAAATAACTTACTCTGAACAATCTATATAACCTCTATGTATTACGGTGAAGTTATAAAAATTATGAAATTGAAAATATTCTATTAGCCTGAATCAATATGATCATACCTATATTTCTTATTAAAAGTTTAACGCATATTATGAGAATAGAACCATAACTAGGTGTGGAATTCAGGAATTCTGAGAGTGGAGAACGTTCAGATATGACACACTAAAAGTCATTATGATTAATACTTATTATAATATACCAAATATCATTATTGCTTATTTGTATTATTACGATGTCTTTAAGACGTATTCAGGACGTGAGAATCAGATATCTTTAAAACGCCTGAATGATGACATCTTGTAGACGTCTTATTCAGGGAGTAAGACGTACAGACTAAGATAGGATATAATTCAGACATCTTAAAGACGTCTTGTGCTATCTGGGTAAGATATCTTCTGATGGATATCCGCTATAAATCCATGGATGAATACCTCATGGATGTCCATCTGAAGACCACAAAAAAATAAATATATGAGAGCTATTTTCGAGTGATTGTATATTTTTGTACGAAAACATTGAACAACAGAGAAAAATTCCAAACTGTGGTGTTGTTATTTTTTTTTTTTTTTTTAAACAATTAAACAATATGAATTCATATTTGCATCGGATATCTTAATTGTGGCTATAAACATATTATACCTACATAACAATAGTTATATGATGGAAAACTACCTTTGAATTTCTAATAAACATGTGATTTGCATGTGATATTTGTGATGATTCGTATTGTTTTGAACCATTCTCAATTAACAATTTTTGTTCGCTAAACGAACATCTTATGGACGTCCATAGGTCATCCGCATCAGAATATCCATTTGATATCCTCTGACGGATATCCTATGGATATCCATCCCACTAAACATT